ATAAGGACTGTGCTTCAAAACTTGGATTCTACTAGGGTCAGCCTACCTGAGTTTGAGTACCAGCTCTGCTGTTTGCTTCTTTGCTTGCTGTGTGACCTTGGGCAAGATATTTAACTTCAGATTGCACTACAAATTCATTGCTTATGATATGGGGGCAATTAATAGTACTTCTCTCATAGGATTGTTTTAAGGACTGAGGACATGATATATGCAAATAGCATAAAAGAATATCTAACTAATGGTGGAAGCCAACTCTAAGAAGCTTGTGTTGTCTTTTCACTCATGCTGTCAAATCTAAATTTCCATGGGAAAATGTCTGCAGTCAGACCTTCATTTTTTTTTTGTAAGAATAGAGAGCAGAAAGAGGGGAGTAGTGGTAAAACACATACTAGGAAATGTTGGCAATCATAATTATGTGGCTGGGTATCGATATTTATAATACAATGGGGTTCTGAATGAGGCCACAAGCTACCCAAGATCCCTCATTAGCAGTTTGGTGGAGACAGGAATGTCACCCAACACATAACACCTAACACCCTGCCTGCCCTCAGCCAACTCATGTGCCCGGACACCCTTGGATGCTCTGTAATATTTCTTGTCCATATGGATTAGAACTGAATGATCTACGTTTATTTTTACCTTTCCTCAAGGGTTCTTTTCTCCTCCTTCTTTTCTCCTAGTGAAAAATAGAAAGTCTCCTGTTGATTTGGACTCCTCCTAAAGAACAGACTTCACTATAGACCCTTGGCCTCCTTGGAGAGTCTTTTCTGTAAACAATCCCCTGTCCAGCAGGGTTCTGGCAGCTGGAAACCCCTCAGCGGGAGCAGGGACTAGGTATAAACTTGGGAACTATTTTGGGAGATAAGAAAATGAGAGAATTTGAGGTCATTCATTTAGTCTTAACTACTGATAGGGTAAGTACATCAGAAACATCTGAATTAAGCATTTTTCTGCATTTTAATTAGTAGAACAAGTCTCTTCTTGATAAGAAAATAAGTTCAATAATAAATCAAATGTATGAAGGAAAGTGCAGGCATTTTTTTTCTTATCTAAAGAGGCTCTGTGTTCCTAAGAGCTGAGAACAAAACTGCACATCCAAAGGCCTGATTTTCAGTCTTAGTCATTTATCAGACTAAGTCCTTAGAACAAGTAAAGAAATCTAGTTATTTAGTCAGGCAGGAGGCAGTTCTTACCCATTTCCTTGGCTCATGGTCTTGGTCCTCCTTGTATCCTATACTGTCACTATGTGAGATGGGCACGTCGATGGAGATGCCAAGCCCAGTGAGCCTGAAGGATCTGCCAGTGGCTGCTCAAATCAGCAGAAGCCTCGTCTCTCACAATGCTTTCCTGTGAACAATCCCCCTTCAGCCCTCTGTCAGAGACTGTTGGCTAGAATATATACTTCATGATCAACTATAGAGAAGTTCTCAGCAAAAGAAACCATCAATGAGGTGAAGAGAGAGCCTACATTTTGGGAGCAAATTTTTGCCACACACATGTCAGAGCACAAATCTCCAGGATATATAAAAAAACTCAAAAAACTTAACACCAAAAAACTCAAACAACCCAATCAGTAAATGAGCTAAGGAACAGACACTTCTCAGAAGAAGATATACAAGCAATCAACAAAATATGAAAAAAAAATGTTCAACATCTCTAGCAATTAGAGAAATGCAAATCAAAACTACTCTAAGATTTCAACTCACTCTAGTCAGAATGGCAGTAATCAAGAATACAAGGAACAATAAGTGTTGGTGAGGATGTGGGGAAAAAGGCACACTCATATATTGCTGGTGGGACTGCAAATTGGTGCAACCAATCTGGAAAGAAGTATGGAGATTCCTTAGAAAACTTGGAATGGAACCACCATTTGACCCAGCTATCTCACTCCTTGGACTATACCCAAAGGACTTAAAATCAGCATACTGTAGTGACGCAGCCACTTCGATGTTTATAACTGCACAATTCCCAGTAGCTAAACAATGGAAGCATCCAAGATGCCCTTCAGTAGATGAATGGATAAAGAAAAACTGTGGTATATATACACAATGCAATATTACTCAGCACTAAAAGAGAATAAAATTATGGCATTTGCAGGTAAATGGATGGAGTTGGAGAATATCGTGCTAAGTAAAGTAAGCCAATCCCCAAAAACCCGGGGCTGAATATTTTCTTTGATAAGTGGATGCTGATCCTAATGAGGGGTTGGAGCATGGGAGGAATGGAGGAACTTTGGACCAAGGGGAGGGAGGGAAGAGGGGGGGTGTGGGGGTAGGAAAGATGGTGGAATGAGACGAACATCATTACCCGAGGTACATGTATGTCTGCACATGTGGTGCAACTCCACATTGTGTACAACCAGAGAAATGAAAAGTTGTATTCCATTTGCGTACAATGAATTAAAATGCATTCTGCTGTCATGTATAACTAATTAGAACAAATTAAAAAATTAAAAAGAAAGAGCAAGAAGGAAGAACTGATTAACTATTGCTGACCGCTTAATCTCATCTGCTAGAAATTTTGTGGACACTGGAAACCACGAAGTGCTTTCACTCCACAGAAATCTAGAAATCATGGCAATTTCCAAAAATTTCAGAATTTATGCTAAGGACTTAGGGAAAGTCCAAGTCGATAAACAGTACTATCTTTTGAAGATTCATTCAATGGCGATTGTAGATCCATGCCTCCTCATGAGTTTCAAAGAAGATGGCAACTGGGAACACGTTACCTCTGTGCCAGTCATGATAGTAGCAGTGCAGTCACAGTCCAGGGTATTACAGAGCCATTGAAAATAACACACTTCCACTGCATGTGTACTGATGTGGAAGATTACCTGTGATTATCTTTTGATGAATAAGGCTGGCATGGTGGTGTACACCTGTAATCCCAGATACTCCAGAGGCTGAGGCAGAGGGATGGCAAGTTCAAAGCCACCTGAACAACTTAGTGAAATCCTATGTTAAAATAAAATAAAATAGAGCTGGGGATGTACCTCAGTGGAGAACACTTGCCTAGCAACAAGGAGGCTCTGGGTTTAACCTCCAGTACCACAAAAAAAGAAAAAGAATGGTGCAGAACATTATTCAGAGTGTGATCTCATTTTTGTGAAAGCAAAGATAATCCACAAATGAATATATTAGATATAGGTATCTGCTTCATTGAAAACTATCATATATTTCAGTTATTAACAGTGAACCTCAGGAATTAAGTGTAAATAAGGCAAATGGGAAGGATGGCAAGGGAGTGGGAGTTTTTACCTTTTCATCACTCACAGCTGTATTTCTAATTTTGATCAAACCATAGAGAAGGCCGATGATATGGGGCCGCTGATGATAAACATGTGTTTTAGTAATACTTGACATACAAAAATTTTTAATCATTGTGTCAGAAATGAATTAGCTGTGTTCTATAAAGAAACATATCAAACATCAAATAGTGCCCCTCCACTGAAGCATCTCCTTAAGAATGACAATGTGAATCATCTTACAGTTGCAAATGTCAGCTGTCCCATGTTGCAGACTACAGAAAGAGATAAAAAGGACATCCAAGGGTACTCTGTGATAAAAATCATTACATCTTGAGAGGACTGATAGGAACAGTGGAAGGAAGGTGTGTTCAGTTTTTAAAGAGGCTGGAAGTCTGCAAATATTTTCGTAGCAATGCTAGAAAAATACGCTGCAGTGGCGTTAGGATACGTAGCATCTTAGATATTGATGGCCCTCCTAAAACCCTCCTTACCAAGAATTCTAACTCAATATAAAATGGAATGATTTTCATGTGTGAAATGCATTAGCTAATTAACATATTTGTATTGAGAATCTAAAACCTGGGGGAGGGAAAAACAAAGATGAATCGGAGCCAAGAATTGCCTCATGATACTTTTAAAGGAGGCGGGGTGCGGGTGGGAGGCCAGGTGCATATACAGACTCTGGAACTCAACTGGGACACACGATGCTACAAACTAAAGTGGGACTTCCAAATAGAGTGGTGGGAGGGTCTCTCCAAAGGGGCGTATTTTGCTTTCTGTTTTGTCTTAGAATAGGAAAAATATGAAACTCATTGTAAGCAAAGAGGAAAGAGTCCACACAGAGAGATGATTAACAGGTGAGGAAGAGAAAACAGGTAATCAGTCAAGGAAGCTCTAGAAGAAGCAGGAAGAGCCCAGGCAAGAGGTTAGGCTTAAGAAGGAGGAAGGATATTATCCAAATTAAATAAAAGAAGGAACAGGGCCTGGGTGTGAGGCAGAACAACCTGAGGTGAAGGAGAAGGAAACTGAGGTATCTGCTTGAACCAGCCTAACTTTCTCCTTCTGGTGAGAAGCTGCTTTATTGATGGAGAGTGAAAACGTAGTGGTAGATGGGCTGGGGAGGTGGCTCAAGTGGTAGTGCGCTCGCCTGGCATGTGTGCGGCCCGGGTTCGATCCTCAGCACCACATACAAACAAAGATGTTGTGTCTGCCAAAAACTAAAAAAAATAAATAAATATTAAAATTCTCTCTCTCTTTAAAAAAAAAAAGTAGTGGTAGATTTACAAGTTATGGAAAGATCTAGAATAGCCACTGTGAAGACCAAAAATTAACCAGGAATGATGAAAAGGACTGTGAAGCATCACTGAAATGTCAAGGTGGGGAGGGGGCTGCATAGCATGAATTTTTAATGAAACCAATTTTTTTAAAAAAAAAATAATTTTTCAACATTTTCTCTAGCACTATGACAGCTGGACACAGGAGCAGAGAAATTCAGTTTGACTAGAATGGAGGGATTGTAGAAATCAAATCATTCCTGAAAACTGCCTGTGAACGTTCATTGGAAATGAGCCAAGTGATTGCATCGTTATAGATTTCACTTTATCACTATGTTTTTCCCCTTTAATTTTTATAGTTCATTTTCTGTGAAAATGTGGGAGTAATATCCTGGGCTTCAAATATGAACCAATTATGGCCATGAAAATTTCTAAAGCTTCTAGTTCAAACTTGCTTCTCATGCATTATGTATTTTTAGGCTGGAAAAACTAATAACATCCTTTTTGGAAGACCAGGATCCACAGAGTAGACTAGAGGTTGGCGCTGATATGCGTAAAATTCATCACTGTTTTCATCATTTAAAGGTAAGTTTAAATGTTTCCTTCAGTAGAAACCATTTCCTGCCATGCTCCAACTGCAATAAAAAAAAACTTTTCTGGTTGACCAAGCCTTGAAAAGTTAGGACCCAGCTTCACAGAAAATGGTGTGATCTTTGAACCAATGCTGTGGTCACCACCCACTTTCTCCTGAGATCAGATCTTACTTGCCAATAAATAAGCTCAAACCATGGACTTCAAATTCTTTTGCCAGGAATCTCTACCTCTACACAGAATAGTTCTGTGTTCCAAAAACCAATTTTAAAATAATATCAAGTGAATCATGTATTGTATTTTTTATTTATCCTTATAATTCACTTTCCTCTGCCTTGGGTTTGACCTTTCCTGATGAGGAGATGGGGTTTTCATTACATGTTCCTTCTACCTTAGTTGTATTTTTTCATACCTCGGTAAGATAGCGAACATGTCTGTGAGTCTGCTATGGGCCAGGATTGGGAAGGCAATGTTGAACGAGTCATGGAGAAGACAGATAAGGGCTATAATAAAAGTATGAACTGAGCGCTATTGTGTTACATAGAAAGGGAAGCGAGTCCAAGAGGAGATAATGTTTGAGGAAGAATTTCCCAATTTAGGAAAGGAGAGATAAAGATGGGGGAGAAGGGAATGTGGAAGGCAGGTGGGGTTGGGGGACAAGCAAGTGAGAAAAGCGACTGTGAATTCAAGGAGTCAGGAGAAGGCAGGCTTATGTTCAGGGAATTGTTAAAGGGAAAAGAGTCAAACAAGAAAATTTGGAATGGCGATATAGGGGCAAAACTGTTCTTTCAACTTACAGAAACTATTGAATGACAAGAAGATCCTCAGGAACAGTACAGTCTCCTCTGAAATCAAAGAGCCAGACTGCCAAGAACCAGTGAAAGAGGAAGAATATAAAAAGCTACGAGACCTTCTAAAGCAGAGGGATAATGAAATCAGTATCCTTCCTGAAGCCATGAAACTCTCTGCTCCTGGCTTGAAAGGGGGGTGAGAACAGGTGACTCCCCACTGCCACATCACTCAGGGGCCCACCCTTCCTCCCAATCAATCACCTCGTCCCTTTCCATTGAGAAGTAAAATGTCCCTTTAGCAAACACAGTGCAGTCACTAGTGAAAAAGAGTAGCTACAAAAGAAAACGTTTGACCTTACTTTTAGCCTGATATAGTTTCTCTACAGAGAACATTTCAGTTTATAGAAAAGTATGAGCTTTTTTATGGCATCTCTCAACATTAGATTTGTGAAAATATAATTTTTGACTACTCTGTGGTGCTCTTTCTGGTTCAGTCCTGAGCCAGTAAGTTAGCTGGTTATCTTTAGCTAGCTGACCGGACACCGGGCTGACCACAGCCTCACCATGGCCCAGAGTTTGTGGCTGGTATGTGGGTGAAACTCAAATCATGGCTGAAAAAATGGTAAATGGTATTTAGCTTATGAAGAGCAGAGATTGATTTAAATGTAACCTTTTATTTAAAAGGAGATCTACTACTTTGGGTTCTACTTACAAATGTTTCCAAATTTGGAAGTGAGAATAGATGAGTGTTCAAGACAGAATTCTTATTGGCTCCAGGAGGCAGCATATATGGGGTCCTGAGAGTGGTGGCATTCCCTGGGACATGAGCTGCTCCTAGTTGCAGACTAGGTGGTTACTTCTAAAGAGCCCCTGGTGGGGGGTTAGACCTCAGGACTCCCTGAGATTTCTTCAGTATTCCTTCTTGTTAAAAGACTTGACATTTTCATGACATTTGCAGCATTTAAACACACACAGGAAATAATTTTGGTCAATTCATTATAAGCAGATATTTTTTGCTCATTTTTAAAATTTTCTAAAGATACTTTAGCTTCAACTATTGTCCAAAATGCATAAAAATAATCTATGTAAAGAAAATCCAGAAATAAAGAGGTAAAAACAAACCAAATACAAAGTAAGTCTGCTGCCTGATTAACTTCAGTCTTTAATTTTAGTTGAGCATTAGCAGACCCCTTATGTCAGATTCAAGTAAATTTTAGCTGCTTTATTATTCAGCAAGTAACAGTAGGTTCAACTGTGAATTACACCCCCACACGAGCCCTTGTCTGTGAGTGCTGCCCACAAATGTTGTCACCCTTGCATTCCTTTCCCTCTCTCTTACCCCATCCATCTCCAGGGATGGTCTCAGCCTGGACCTCAGTCCTGGCCTCAGCCCCAGTCTGAGCTCTGCTTCTTTTCCTGGCCCTGAACCTAGTCCAGGATCTTCTCTCCTAAATACTCCTACCAACTTCTTAATCCGCTTCATGACTTATGAAGCTCTGTGCCTATAGGAGGGATGAAATGAGATATGACAGAGAGGGAACGGGCCAGGCTTGTTCATATACATTTATTTTTAAAAGAGAATGAGAGAGAAAGAGAGACATACATCATCTCCCTTCTTCACTGTGGTGAATCTGGGTACCACTATTCACATGGGGCTACACTAGATTCTTTACTGAATAATTCAGAGTTTCCGCCATCTGAGTCTCATATTCAAAATGATGGTGTGTATGCTGTCAGAGTGGACAGAATACTGATCTTGAATCCATACTTGGATTGAAATCCTAGCTCTTCTTTTATTAGCTGTATGACTACTTGATGAAGCTGTTTCCTATCCTTCAGGAGCAGGAACGTAAGACCTGCCCTGTCAATCTCACTGTGCTGAGAAAAACCAGAATGTGCCTAGGCATTCTAGAGCATCCCATAATGGAAGCTGTTCTGAGGTAAACAGTAAGTAAAATCAGAAGAAGGAAAAACAACAGCTAAGGTTTAATCATCTCAAAACTTACGTTCATCAAAGGCTGAAAATCAATAAAGGCTCTTGATGCATCACAGTTACTCAGTCGGGTTTGGAGGATGTTTTCTTATCTGTCTTTGTAGACCCAGAAGGCTCAGATTGTGACAGGTGTGAGAAAGACACTATTTCCCATGGGAGTAGGTGGGGGTAGATTATACTGGAGATCAACAAAAGATAGTAGTGCTGTCAAAGTGACCACCAACAACATGAATGTCCATAGTGGGAGTTACAAGGTTCCATTTCAGTGACATCATCCGTTTGAACAAACCCCAGACACACCTTCACAAAGTATAAAACAAGGTGGTACTGAATCACAGCTCAGCCAAAGAGGGGAATCTTCCCAGATAAAAGACCTATATACTCAGAGATATATGCACAGCTTCACTGCCTAGTACAAGTAAAGTAAAGTATTCACTTTACTTTTTATTAACTCTTTCATAAAAAATCTAAGACATCTGGTTTAAACTAAGAACATTTTGAAAAACTTTGAGTTTGCTAATTTTTCATCTCGTGGTGTCATGGTAGAAGACTAATAGCCTCCTTATTGTCCACAACTGTGTAGTCGGAATTTGGAAAGTTAAAATCTTCCTTTAGTCAGTTTTTACCATATGTTCAAGAGCAAGTGGTTTGGGGACTATTAACTGCATTTGGATCATTTGTATTTTGATCATTATAATCTAGGATGAGTCATTTATTCCTTAAGTCAAATTTCAGATATTTTAGTCAACATGTTAAAAAAGGAAAAGAAGAAAACTCAGGATGCTCTCCACTTCTCTAGTGTGGATAGAGGTGAAATCAGACTCATCCAGAGCTCACCCTTCCCACCTGGAAACCCAGAAGGTCAGAGGACATCACTATTCTCAGCCTCGACACAGTCCCAGGATTGCAGCATGCTCGGGAACAGATCCAGTTTGCTCCACAAAAAATCAGGTCAGTTGATTAAATGTCTAGTGTTTTTCATGGCCTATACTGGGTTTCAGTGTAGTTGTAAATGTGCAAGGACAAAGACACTAACAATGTATTTTTCTAACAAATCTTTTTTTATTGATTTTTTAAAAAAAATAAATGACAGCGGAATGCATTACAATTCTTATTAAACACATACAGCAAAATTTTTCATATTTCTGGTTGTATATAAAGCATGTTGACACCAATTCGTGTCTTCACACATGTACTTTGGATAATGATGTCTATCACATTCCACCATCCTTGCTAATCCCCTGCCCCCACCCTTAATCTCTTAAATACTAGTTTCCCAAATTAATTTCCCCAAATCTCTTAAATACTAGTTTCCCAAATTAATTTCCCCAAATCTCTTAAATACTAGTTTCCCAAATTAATGACTGAACTGAGAAAAACAAAGTATGAATTTTCATAGCATTCAAAGGTAGAACTGGAAAGGTCTAGGGTAGAAAAGTGAACTTTAGAGACAGGAAAGAAAAACCTTCCTCTGCCCTTAAGAAGGAACAAGGAAGATCAAATGTCACATTAATAACAAGATGATGTCATGTTTATTACTAAATCCAAATGAGCTATTTACATCAAAACATTTTTAAAGTAAAAAAAATTAAAGTATTTAAAGTTTTATCACAACCTTAAAGAGCAATAAATTAGCAAAATGATTGGACCAACTCAGAAGCATCTTCCCCTTTTTTAGCTTTTGGTACTGCTAGTACAGAACCTTCCAGAAGCCCAGGTCTGTTTGTGTATGTTTCCCCTTGTTAGACCAGCATGGCATGATGTAGTCATGTGACTGGTGCCTTGTCCAGGATATGGAGGAATCAGAAGTGTGGTGTGTACTGGGGGAAAAAATGGTGAAATTTTACCTTTTTGGCAACATGTTAACATTTTCTGTGCAAACATTTGTTGGAATGTACTACCTGATATGTGTGGCTTCCTCGAGGATCTAGCCTGGGAACCACCAGAGTGTGGTGTTCATTAAGAAGCATGTGCTTTAATTAATAAAGACAACTTGGAGAAGTGTGGAGATATATTTTGTGATATCACATTCCTGTAGCTCTTAATTCCAAATCTCCCTGCATTGAATAGTTCTTCAACAACACAGTACAATGAATTCCAATCCAGGAAAACAAAGATACCATTTATCATGATGGCAGCAGAAATGAAAATCACTGATTCCTTTCTGTGACTGTTTTCTATTCAGCTTTGCTCTATTTATTATAGATAGCAGCTGGGTGGGGAAAAGGGGGGAGCCATCTGCATTGGTGAACTCTTACCCATCCATTTACTCATTCCTCTTTAATTCAACATATTATCGAGCACATACTTTGTCCTAGGCACAATGTTAATTATTATTACAGCCAAAGCTTACATAGGCCTTATATACCAGGTACTATGTTAAATCCTCTGCTTGAATTATTTACCCACATATTACAGATGAGAACATACATAGACAAACACAAGCTCTGACCTCAGAGTGACACAGGAAGAGTCACTGACACAGGAAGAGTCACTCAACAATTGATTACAGAATTATATTTCTGTATTAGCAGGGAGCACATGCCAGGGACCTTACCTGCAGTGAAGACTAGAAAGATCCAAAAGGGGAGTGAGGGTAAATGTGTGAGTGGAAGGAATCTTGGAAGGAAAAGGAACCAGTTGCGTGAACAGCTTTGAAGTCCTTTGTAATGAAAAGGAACATTTTAGGAATCCAAAAAGCCAGATATGGTTGGCATCTGAGGGATGAGTGAGAGCCTGGGGAGGCAAATTGATTGACATGTGCTGAGCAGATCAACACAAAGACCACATGACCATAAGGGACCATTGTAGTAGCTTAGGCTAAAGGATAGGGATGATGAGAGAGGTGAGGTAGCAGAAGCATTTAGGAAGTCGAGTGGACAGAGCTTTGTTGCTCACAGGATGTGGAGGGTGAGGGTGAGGATTGGCCCCCAGGTCACACAGTAGCTGGTGAGACTTGTCACAGCAGTAAGGAATAGTGAGTGCCTCCCGTGGTTCTCTGACAGTCAGCATTGTTGGCCATTGAGAACATGGCATGGGCACCTCTGCTGTGGGAACCCAGAAAAAATAGGACCCCAAAATGTGATGCTCTGCCATGCTGCATACTTTGAACTGAAGGCCATCAGAAGGGCCTCAGAAGCAAACTCTCTATCCACCCTTCTCCTAATCTTCTTTCTCCTACTCTTTTTTCTCCCCTAATACAGGCCACAAAAACTAGAACCCCTCTCCCCTAAAGCCAGCCACAAAATCTAGAAATACTATCTCCCCGCCCTGCACCTTTTTTGGCCATAAAGAAATTCTCTGACCTACCCTGTCTGATAGTGTATCATAAGACCCTCATTCCAAAAGGTCCTTCCCTGTCCTGGGAGGAAGAAATGACACACAGAAGAGTCCAAGGAGAAGCCAAACAGATAGGCTTTGCTGAATTGCCCCCATTCATTTTATTACATTAGATCATAACATTTTCCCAATCACTTTTCTAAATGGTGTCGTTAAACCTAAGCATAAAAATAGAGTTTTCCCCCAGGTCTTTGGTTCCATCTGAAGGCTGCCATATTATATAACATTTGATTAAATAAGTCTGCTTTGCTTTTCTCTTGTTGATTAGTCTTTTGTCACAGGGGTGTTCCTTATGATGAGTAAGGAAAGGTATCGGACCTTCTTGCCCCTGCTTTGCTGAAATTAAAGGTCATGGTCAGTACCCCATGGCTCATGATGGAAGGAACTCTGTTTCCTGGCCTTTTCAAAACACTTACTCCATTGTGCCTGTGCAGAAATGGCCTCAGACATCTCTGCCCAACCCTTGTTGTGAGCCAGACCTTTTCAATTTCGATTTCTTCTCATCCACACCATCCCTTTCTCGTAATTCTTCTCCCCACAGCATCTCATAATCCTTCCCCTTCCTTATAATTGCAGTCATTTTTTTCAGGAACTCTTTTCTTCCCTGGATACTGCTATTGAGACAGACTATAGTCTGTCTATTTGGAGAATAAATAAAATTTACTTAAATAGAAAATTGCTGAAAAAATAATGGAAATTGTTTGTAAAGTCCAAGTACAAATGAGGTAAAAGTTTTGGAGCAGAGCCTTATATTTGAAAGGTTTTTGAGTTGTTTTAACCGTCATTGGATACAGTTCTAGCAACAACTTTAAATAGGAGTAGGCTCACAAATGGACTGATAATGATCTAACCATTTGGGGAAGGGATTGATGGGAGATTGACTACTTTTTTGGCAAAACTACAAATGGAATGAAAACTGTTGCCGATGAATTGATGCTGCAGAGCAACAGGTTGTGGGATCGCTTCTTACCCTATTAAGATTCTAGGAGCTGATTTTATTTTACTTGTGTATTTATTTTATTATTGCAATGTTTTATATATGAGAAGCTCACGTGAACTAAAGCAAATACAAGAAAATTAATAAGCCTAGTGTTTTGAAAGTTTTTGTCTTAGGTAGGTGTTGTCGGTTTCTATGATTGGTCCCTGGGGCTGTTTCTTATGCAGAGAGCATGTAAATCTCACCATCTCTCAAATTGTTGTGAAACTATCTCCCCCTCCACCGCCCTCCCCTTCTTCCATTCACCTCCACTTGATGCTGAAAATAAGTCCTTTCTAATCAGAAAATGAAACTGAATTTAGAGTTCACTAGAGAGCCTTGTAGGTCGAGTCATTGTCCAGCAGCCTGCCAAGGCGGAGCAAGGTCAGGGGCTTTGGGGCCTTTGGTTGTTGTTTTGAAGGTTCGATGTCTGTGTTGGTTTCATTGAAATAAAGAGGAGGATTGTTCAGCTCCACAGTTTGAGAAGAATCATATTGTTCTGTTTAAAATAAGACAAGTTTTAAGGTTAGGTTGGTTTGGGGTTTTTTGTGTGTTTTATTTTCTGTTTTAGATCTCTGACTGTGTTCCAAATAGTCACCAGGAACCAGTCGGGATTCCAAAGGCCCCACCACTCAGCACATCCTTTAGCTGCTTGAGAAGCTAACAGAACCCACTCATCACAGGTGATATTGCTGTCATTTTAAAGATGGGGGTGGAACTCAGTGGGAGAGCACTTGCCTAGCATGCATGAGACTCTGGATTCCAGCCCTAGATCATGAAAAGAAAAATCAAGAAAATTAATTGCAAAAACATACCCTTGAGGCTCCAGACCCTATTCTTTTGTTTTGTGAGAATTCTTTGAATTCCCACTCTGTGCATGGAAGATCCAGGGTATGCTGTGGGCTGTACCAAGGTGAACTGAGAGTGTCTCTGACTCAGGGAACTCACAGTTAAATAGTGGAGGCTGGCTTCGAACCCAAATAGCAGAGAATAAAATAAGTTGCTTTAAGCAGAAGCTAGAAGAAATATTTTGGGAGTTCAAAGGAAAATGGAAGAAATTTATTTTCTTTTAATTCTTTTGTATTTTATTGATGCATTATGATTGTACACAATAGTGGGATCCGTTGTTCTGTATTCTGATGTGCACATGATACAACTATATCATTTGGCCAATATCATTCCCCAGATTTCTCCTGTACCTTCCCTCCTCCCTCACTAGGTCCTTTTCCTCTTCTCTACTGATCTCCCTTTGATTTCCTTGAGTTCCCCCCACCTTTCTCTTCTTTTTCTTCTTTAGCTTCCACATGTGACAGAAAACATAAAACCCTTGCTTTTCTGAGTTTGGTTTATTCAATTAACATAAAATTGCCAAGTTCCATCCATTTTCCTACAGATTTCTTCATTATGCTGAATAAAACTCCACATTTTCTTTATTCATTTACACATTGATGGACACCTAGACTAGTTCCATTGTTTGACTATTGTGAATTGTGCTACTCCAAACTTGGGTATCGCGATTGTATGGTGACTTTAATCCTTTAGAGTGAATACTGAGGAGTGGTACAGCTGGGTCATATGGTGGTTCCATTCCTAGTCTTTTGCAGAACCTCCTCATCCATTTCCATAGGAGTTGTAC